AAAACGAGGACCCAGCACCACAGGATAATTGAGAATCGCCAGCTACCCAATTGATGGAAGGGAGAGTAGGAGGGGGATATATATATATATATATATAGAGAGAGAGAGGAGCGACACACCGACAGGGCATACAGGGCGGGCGGAAGCCGAGGCTCGACACTGGGAGGCGTTCACCCCTGCAGGCGCACAAGCACGGTGGGAATATCTACCGACCTTGGGCCCCCCGCTTCCTTGAGGGGAGGGAAGGAGGGAGCAACGATGACTCATGCAGCCGGGGCGGCTCGATTTCTCGAAGCATGGCCCCCCGGTCCTCTCGACCCTCCGCCTCGGTGTTGCCAAGATGTTGGGGGTCTGGGCCCCGCCTCCTTCAGCAGAATTTCCAGGGGGAGTCCGCCCGTGCCGACGAGCGCGCTCCACGAGGCCCCATGAAGGCGACAAACATCCGAAAGCCTTGGCCCTCGACTCTCGATCTTCTCCTCGTCCCCGCCCCACTGATCCCCAGTGCCCCTCATTTCCCTCCACCTCCCCCTCCTCCCGGGGAGGAGTGGGCGATCGACAACGTCGTATACACGTCCCTCCCTGATCACACCAGAATTGCACGCACGAGGCGTGCAATAGTGGGGCATGTGTAAAAAACAAATCTCTGGAGGCAAAGTGTCGCTTGGGCGGCGCGCACACGGGGGATGGGGCGGCCTTCTGAGAAGGTGGGGAGCCTCTGAGAAGCCAAAGGCCCTCTCAAGAGGACCAAGAGGCTTCGAAGACGGCTTCTTAAGAGTTTCAATGGGCTTCTGAGAAGCCACCTGCTTTCTTAGAAGCCCGACCGCCTTCTCAGAAGGCCGCCTCCCTCGCGCCACCCCCTTTTGCGCGCCACCTCATTTTGCGCGCCCTCTTCTGCTTCCCTCCTTGGCGACCAGAATGGAGGGCATCAGAAGGAGTGTGTTTCAAACGCTGGATCGCCGAAGGGAACAGACCCCTCAAACATCGCCCGCACGACCTGTCCTCGGGTGCTCGCCAGAACTTCGAGGCGGATCCAGCCGTGACGACGCTGGCGTGCCTGCATACTGAAAAAAGAAACACAAATCTCAATTTTCAAGCCCAGAGAAAGGAGGGAGGAGGAGATGAGAGGAGGATGACGCGGAGGAGGAGGAGGAGGAGGAGGAGCACGAAGAACATAAGGACGAGGAAGAGAAGGAGGAACAGGAAAAGAGAGGAGGAGAAAAGGAGGAGGGAGGAGGACACCGAGGAGGAGGAGGAGGACATCGAGCAGAATCAGGAGGAGAAGGAATGACTCGGAGTAGGAAAAGGAGGAAGAGAATACGGAGGAGAAGAAGGGGAGGAGAAGGAGGAGGAAGATATCGACCAAGACCTGCATGAGCGCACGCGTCTACCTCGTGGAGACCCGGTCGGGGAGCTCGGTCTCGGGCAGCGCGAACCTGGCAGGGCGAAGCAACCCACACCTCCCCTAGTCGTGAGCAAACACAGCGCCGGACAATGTGTCCACATGTTCGGCCTCTGGGACCCCTTACCCGGCCCAAGTACTATCAACAACTACTCAGGATGAAACGCCACCCCTGCAGAAGCCGTCGAGACCTCTGGGGGTCCCCATTCCGAGAAAAACGCGTGAGGGGTCTGTGAAGCAAGAGACTGGGGGCAGGGGGAATATCAGATCTCAGTACGACCATGTTAGCATACATTGGAACGTCCAAAGTGAGGCGCGCTCATGCCTATTCCCCAATGAACACTTGCACTGAAGGGGTCCTAGCGGAGATTGAACGGGTAGGTGAAGGTGACATGCAGATCTCGGTGATGGGAGGAAGGCAGCGGCCTAGAGCTGTTCTTCTGCTCCTACCCAAGCACTATCAACGACCTCATGTCACCCATTCCTCCTCGTTCTTCTGTTTGCATCCCTGCCTCTATCTCGTCGTCGTCGTCGACGTCCCCCCCTCGTCGTCAATGTTTGTTTTGTTATTTCTATATTTCTCTCTTTCTCATGTTTTATCTCTCTCTCTCTCTCTTCTGCTATCTGCTGATCCTCCTCCTCATCTACCTCCCCACCCTCGCCCCTGCCGCTCCCGCCTTCTCCCTCACCGTCCCCGCCCTCGCCGTTCCTCCCCGCGCCGCCGCAGCCTCAGTCCTCGCCGCAGTCGCAGCCCCCCCCCCCGACAGTCAGGCCGCAGTCGTCGCCGTCGCCGTCGCCGCAGCGCCACTCCAGGCCCCGCGAGGGGGGGGAGGGGAGTTGGCGGCGTGCCGAAGTGGAAAAATGGCCGACATCCTTCAACCGTTGTTTAATGTGTTCGAAAGATTTTAGGGATCCGGGATGGTTTCTATTAGCTGCGCCTCGTCATGGCGTTCCGGGCATGCGGGAATCGTCTTGAACGGCCGCCCGAGGCCCGAGGCATCGCCCGAAAATAATTAGAAGGGGCAGACCTTCTCAGAAGGCAGCGGGGCTTCTCAGAAGCCTTCTGGCCTCTGAGGAGCATTCGCGGCCTCGGCAACGGCTCAGGAATGCTCCCCAGCAGGCCGAATGCCTTGTGAGCCTCCACAGAAGGCCCGCCGTCCCCAACTTGAGCAGGGACCGACCGTCCCAGCATTCCTAGAGGCATACCACGGGATGTTCTTAGAAATCAAGTATGTTCTGATAACATAAGCAATGTTCTTCTAACATTAAACCGATGTGTTAAAACACGACTGCCCCAGACAGAAACGTTCTAAGAACATCTGCCTTCCGCTTCCCATCTGCCTTCTCCCCGAACGTGCGGGCGAGGGGGGAGAGGGGGCGCGTGCGCACGCGGAGGGGGGGCACGCCGCGCACGCGAGGAGGGGGGCGGGCGCGTGCCTCGACGACGAGCGACGAGCGACGAGCGACGAGCGACGACGACGACGACGGCGGCGGCGGCGGCGGCGGCGACGAAAACGTGCGAGCGAGCAAGCAACAGCTGGAAGCGAGTAAGTATCAGTTGGCCCAAGGGAGGGGCGCGGCGAGGCCGCCAACTTTTCGAGATCCCTGGCGGAGCCATTTGTGCGCCAGCGCCTGAGGGGCCAACCGAGGGGCGATGGGGGCCGGCCGCTCTCTCGCTCCGCGCGCGCGGGCGCGTCGAAAGCAGCGCCCGACATCTGGGCATTCCTCACTCTCGCCCCTGTCCTCCCATCGGGCCCGTGCGTCGTGGGTGAGGTCGCGGGAAGTGGCTGGGCGCTCGTCCCTCCGCCCCTTGCTCCGCCCCAGGAGAAGGTTCCCGGAGTGGCGGTATGGGCACCTTTCTTCCCCACTTCCCTCCTCCGTTCCATCCTTGCACACATTTCCCCCGCATCGTCCCTCTTCCTCGTCCTCGTCCTCGTCGCCCTCCTCGTGCTTGTCCTCTCGTCCTCTTTCTCGTCCTCGTCGTTCTCTCTTCATTCCTCTCCAGTCTCGAGTCTCGGCTCGAGAGCACTTGTGCCCAGGGCGAGCCAAGACACGAATCGTTCCGCGCCCGTCAACCAACTGAAACCGTATCCGCACCAATCGTACAGGACCGATTCGTGCCACATCCCCTTCAATCATGCGCGCGCCATGGCCCCATAAGGTCCCCGCCGTGAACGTTCCAACCCTCTGCAGCACAAGCCACCAGGCAAGGGTCGCCAAAAGGACAGCAACCGATCCCATAAAGGAAGTCTGCGCCGCCACACTCTAGAGCAGTGGTGACGTCGACCGAGCAGACGCTGCATAGACCGAACTGGCTCACAAACAGAATGCCAAACTCGGCATCATTGCCCATCAAATTGGCAGCGTCAGCTCAGGGGTAAACTGATGAAACTGTTGAAAGAAACAAAGTCAACTTCACAATACTGCACTACCCCCTGACGCACAAGACGGGCTTCAATCGTGACCCACCAGGGCCCACGGCTTCAGCCGACGCCCACTAGGGCAACTGCACCGCCCCACTATTGGGCCGTCTTGACGCCATCTGGGGCCGTCCTGAAGCCAACTTGGCCCTCCCCTACCTGGGGGCCGCAGAAGCTCCGGGGAGGCTCTCAGGAGGCCCGTGGAGGCCCCCGGGCGGAGGGGGAAAGCAACGTATTTCAGGTGCCCTGCAGTTCTTCGGCCCGGGGGCCCCCGGGGCCGGGTTTCCCCCGGGGCCGGGTTTCCATCACATCAGAAATTCGGATAGCGGGAGTCTCTGTGCAGAGACAGATTTTTCAGCTTCTGGGGCACCCCGCGGATCCCTGCAGAGTCACGCAGCCATTTGCACGTCGGGCGCGACTCCTGGATCGTCGGTCTGACGGTGTTGTTGGTTTACTCGGTGAATGCATTTGGGTTTCTCTGTTCTTACGTAAATAGTGACCGTGATCGTCATCGGTATCGGGCACGGTGTCCTCCCACAGGCGTGTCTCACGGTGCTCGTGTAGTCGGTGCTCCTGCTCGTGCGAGTGCGTAACAATTCCATCGAGGCAGGCGTACTCAGGCTCCTGGCGGGGTCACCCTCCGCCAAGGCGTGCGGTGGGGTGTGATTCTGCTGCGGAGGGAGGCTAGCAAACGTTGGCGTGTGTGGGTGGGCAAGGGGGGGGGACGTAAAGACTCCGTAACTACTTCTTCTCCTCCGCTTTGTGGATGCGATGCTCGTTTCTTTGCCTTGTCGCGCTACACATAGCTCCTTTGACACTGGACCTCATTCCTTCGCCCCTCATCAGCCGCCTCATCCCTCACCCATCCTCTGTTGCCCACACTCTCTCTCTCATCCATTCTTGTTCACGCATTTTTCCTCCCCTTGTCCTCATCCATCCTCTTGTGTCCCGTAGCATTAATCATTAAGCCTCCTTGCTCCTCCCCATCATGGTTATCCTGCTCCGCGTCCGTTCCTGGTCTTCCTGCTGCTTCTCCTCGCCCTCGTCCTCCTACGCCTCTTCCCTCCCGCCTCCCCCACCCACTCCGCATGCTCCTGACCCTTCTGCTGCTCATGCTTCTGCTCTGCCTCCCCTCGCACTCCCCCCTCACCCCTTCCTCTCGGGAGCCTCCTCCAACACCCTCACTTCTCCGTGGCACGAGCAGCTGCCTAGCAGGGGGCGCAAACAAGATCAGAGCATCGACGGCTGGACGGCTCCTATGTGAGGGTACCCTCTCTGGCTCTGAAACAAGGTTCTTGAGATGCTCGTCGACAGAGGCCTTTGGCCCATGGCAATGGGTGGCTTCAAGCCCGCCCAAGCCTTCTAAGATCTCGCCAGGAGCACCCTGGCTGCGTGGCGATCGCCTGCTTCCGACGTCCACTTCCCCGAATGGCGCACGGGAGAGGGGAGGGGAGAGGGGCAAGCCAAGTGCGCTCGCGCCACATCTGAAATCAGACCCTCCCTCCCATCCCTTCTGATTGCCCTAATTCGTTTCATTCTTACCAAACAACATGGCATCTGCTGTGCTTGACCCATCGTTCACCGGGCTTAGAGCAACACTGCCAGACGGTACCAGGAAGCACGGACGCAGGTCCGGCGAAATCTTGGTGCACAGAGGGAGGGGAAGATCTGGCGCCGGGGAGGGCTGGAAGAACTGACTTCTTCCCGGGTAACGGGGAGGACAGAAGAGTCTGGTGGAATTGACCACTGCAAGCTCTCGCATGCCTCCATGCTGGGAAAACCATTAAGATAGAGATACCGCTACTCCCAAGACCTCTCCTGGGGTGCGTTCAGACCAGAATTTCGAAGCGAATCCAGCCGTGACAGCGAGGGCCTCCCAGGAGGCCCAAAACGGCGAAACGGCGAAAACCATGGAAGGGCAGCGACATGGTACCTTTTCCTCCTATGACGTGCAGCATGGCTTCCTCTGCCCCTCTTCGAACCCGAACGCGGTCCTGGCTGGCCGTCGGTCTTTGAGACCCGTCGAACGCCAGCAGCGCCTTCAGCAAGGCCGCGGCCACCTTCCGCCGCGGCCGCACCCCCAAGGTGGGGTGGAAAGAGCATGCTTCCGCTAGGGCAAATCGCGAACTGACTTGGCACCCGCTACCAACGCCCTACCCCTCAGACGAAGACCACGACGCCCGCGAGGCGCAGTGGGGCGCCAACGATGCCCGCGCCGTCCGCGTCGAGCGCCGGCGCTCCCTGGTGGCACGGCTCCGCACGATCGCACGCCGCGGGAGCTGGACGTGCAGAGGGGCCACGAGGCCAGAGACGGGGCCCCCAGACGCCGAGATGGTGGACGGACTGCCCGCTCTTGATGCAGCCGGTCTCCAGGCATCCGACACTGCGCTGCTCGCAACGTGGATCCACAAAGGTCTTGACCACTTCCCCGGAACCGGTTCTTCTCCCCGAGACGTTTACCCCTCCCCAGGACCTGGTGAAGGACCGCAGAGGCTAGAAAATATGAAAAATCGTCCGCCGTGGCTTCCTCGCGACGCGAGGGGGTCTGGGGTCTGGGGTCTAGGTTCTGGGGTGGTTGTCGTCGTCGTCGTCGTCGTCGCCGCCGCCGCCGCCGCCGCCGTCGTGTTCGTCGTCGTCGTCGTCGTCGTCGTCGTCGTCGTGGTGGTCGTCGTCGTCGTCGTCGTCGTCGCAGCCTCCCTCCCCGCCCTGGCTGGCAGGCGCTCGGCGGCGCGCGCCTGATGGCGCCCGCTGTCGCACCCCGCCGCGGGCGTTGCACGACGGACGTGAGCCAGGCGCTCTCGCGCTCGGGCGTCCGCGGCGGAGACCGAGTTTCTCGAAGATCGAGGTTCGAAAGTGGACCCCCTCTCCCTCGACTAGAAGAACACTCAACTGCATAAACATCGAGCGTCACGCGGGTTTCTTGGATCGGCGCTGAGACCCCCCTGGCGGCGTCTCTGGCGCGGCGGCGTCTCTGGCGCAGCCTATGGCGTGCTCCGCGCGCCAGGGGGGGGCGGTCCAGTGCCGATCCAAGGAAAAAATCCGCGCGGATCTCCGAAAATTGATTATGCGATTTGTTCGTTTCTCGATCGACGTCGTCCTCGTCGTCGTCGTCGTCGCAGCCTTACTTCTCTCCTGTGCACGCTAACATGAACTGGGGGGCCGTGGATTGGCACGTGGGCGCCAGATCCACGGATCGGGGAAGGCCTCCTCCGAAACACGAGGGCAATGCCGCCGAATTTGGTGACGGAGCGAACCGAATTCGTGCGGAAGCGGGACCCGTCGCTAATGAATCCACACGATTGGATCCATGTTTGCGCTTCCTCAGTCGTCGTTGTTATCGTCGTCGTCGTCGTCGCCGTCGTCGTCGTGGTCGCAGCCTCGCTGCCCGACCCCACCCGCCCCCCAAAGTCCCCTCCTGCCCTCCCCCCAGAACCGCCTTCTCGACGACAACTGATGGCCACTCGCAAATCTCAGCGCCCACGTGGTTGTAAACTGTTGCTTCTTGCCGTTGCAGGGAGGATGAGGGAGAGGGAGCGGGAGAGGGGGAGTAGGAGTAGGAGTAGGAGTAGGAGTAGGAGTAGGAGTAGCAGGAGGAGGATGAAGAGGAGGAGGAGGAGGAGGAGGAGGAGGAGGAGGAGGAGGAGGAGACACGAAACCCAGGGAGGCAACTCCAGGCCTAGACGCGCTGCCGGGCAGCACTCAGGGCACTGGAGTGCACGTTGTAGTCGTAGCTGTTGTCTGCGATTTCGTGACGGATGATGTTGTACAGGTGGTACATCAAAGCTATGCGCACTGCCGCCCGCTGAAGCTCATCATCCTCGATCTGGTCCTCCGGAAGCCCGAGGCCGAGTCGGACAATCAGTCGTGCGGAAGGGATCCATCTCGGGAGGGAGACTAAATGCCAAGCGCGCGGGCATCGCAGGTAATGGCATATGTCGCCCTCGGCCTGGCAGCCGAACCTGCACGTCAGGCGCTCGTCTAACACGTGCATTCGGTGGCTTGTCGGCCATGCCCCAGCCAAGGTTTTCACCACCGCCCAGCACACCCCAGGCCTCAGGGTAGCGAGGGTGGCGCGGAGACGATGCCACCGTTCCTGGAGGTCTCCGGGTACCACCTCGCCATCTTCAGCCAGCCATTTCTCCAATCTCTTCCCGATGGTGACGTGGAAGGAGTCGTCATGAAGCTCCTGGGCCATGGACTGGTAGATCGCCTTCAGGACGGGGGCGCTGTCGCGTCCCTGGGAACGCCTCGCGTGCTGCTCGATCTCCCTCCGGGCCATGTTGAGACTGGCTGCCGCGCGAACGCCGTTGCGACGAAGACGAGCGTGAGGGCGCGCCGAGAGGTGGTCATCGAACGTCTGGACCATGGCACGCTCTTCCTTCCAAAACGGAGCAGACCACAGCTCCTGTCCCACCCGTGTCGCCAAACCCTCCTCAAGCGCATGCTCGCGCAAACTCTCCAGCCATCTCGGCCACTCCGTCATGGTGACCGCCGCTGCGCGCCACATCGTAGCGAAGGACAGGGCGAGCATCGACGCGAAGGACGTCATGGACACCCAGCGCCGCATGCTGAGCAGGTCGTTTCTGGTGAACGCCTTGGGAGGGCAGGGCGCGATGTAAACCATCAAGTTCGCTGAAATATAGCTTGGGGTCTATAACGAAGAACTGCATGAGGTAGCTCAGCACGGGCAGCGCCGCCGAGTTGTAGTCGCGCACTATCGCCTCGTTTGGTGCTGGGCAGTCCCGGAATAGACACAAGCGCGCGTGGCACTTGCCTGCCGCCTCCGCCCACAGCATGTCGTTCGTTGCGCCCAGGCCGAGCTTGACGCCCAAGTCTTTAATGAAGCTCGCAATTCTGAAGTCCTCCCATCCCTCCATGAGAGTGCCCAGTTCCACGCGGAGAGCAGCAGCGTCTGTATCTGACAGGATGCCAAAGCGGAACCAGAACGCACTTCGACGGCTGGAGCCGGAGGCCAGCAATAATCGACATGGCCTCGAAATGCGGCTTCAAAGGTGTAATGCGCGCGAGGGCGGTCGCGATCAGCCCGAGGTCATCCGCGCACGCCGCTAGGCTGCCGCAGTGCCAGCGGAGGACATGCTGGTCGTACTCCGTGTTCATCCTGGCGCTCCTCGCCATGTCGTTGCTTGAAGGCTCGATCAAGATCCTCTGCATGCCAACGAGGAATGGGTTGAACGCCAGGGCCCATAGAGCGCCGCTAAGGGGACACCCCTGCGCTACGCCGCAGTCCACAGGGCACAGCACGAAGAGTGCACCGCCGGAGCGAACCCAGCAACACTGGTCAAAGCACAGCGCCTGCACGAGCAGAAGGTATTCCGCAGGCAGCCCATATCTCCGCAAACTGGCGAACAACCCGTGGCGTGCCAGGGACGGGAACGCCGCGGCTACATCGAAGGAGCACATGGCTGGGCGACGCTCCTCCGCGAGTGGCGCGACGCCTTGGGCCCGCGCCTGCAGGTCCAACTGCCAGATATTGTCTGTGAAGGTCCGGCCCTGGATGGAGCCTCGCTGCACGTCGTCAACGCACTGCTCGGCCAGCGTGCGCAAGTAGAGATTGCCGGCGGCAGTGCAGAGCTTCGCATCCGAGTTCTTCAATGTCATTGGCCTGAGGGCCCCTGGCGTCCGAATGCATTCCGTCGCCGACGGCGGCTGGTCACCCTTCGGGATGAACAGCATCAGCGAGTGATTGAATTGAGGAGGCGGCCGGGCGCCTCGCATGAGCTCCATCATTACCGCGTGCAAAATCTCGAGCGACCCCTCCGAGGAGAGCCAGGCGCGGTACGGCAGCATATCGGGGCCCGCAGCCGCCAGGCGCGCGTTGCGCGCCACGTGCTCCAGATCCTCCAGCGTCGGCAGTGGGGGCGGCTGCTCCGCGAGCGGCGGCATGACCTCATCCAGGTAGCGCTCCACCGCCCCAGAATCGGTCGCCTTGTCTGCGAAGATCGGGGACCAATGGTCTCGCAGCGCCTGGATCATCTCCATGGGATCGCGCACCGCCCTCGGCTGGATGTCGTCGCCGTGCGTGACCTTGATCCCTTGCAGAACCAAAGCACGCCGAAACGGTTGCCAAATGCGCCCCCAAGCCTGAGCCCGCCGTTGCACCTTCCGCCAATGATCAGACTCGCGCCGCCTGCCTGCAGTCACCGCACGGCGTGCTGCCCCGTGTGTTTCTTGCTGCGCCTGCGTCGCCAGGTCGGCACTGACGGTGCTGATCTGGTTAGCGAAGACGTCCGTATTCTGGAGGGCAACCCGTCCTCCCCGCACAACCAAGTGCTGAGCTGCAAGAGGCGAAGTGGCGCAGAACGTGCTCGCAGTACGCCACACAGCACGCGCCGTCGCCCGCAGCACCATAGCGCGCGCCGCACTCGAGGAGGACATCGTGGAAGATACGCCGGCCATGATCACATCGCGTGTCATGCGGGCAGCGAGGATCATCAGCTCCTTGCACCGGCTCCACACCACCAATGGTTCGCCTCTCGGGAGCTCCGTCTGGTCGCGCCGCTTCTGATACATATGTCGGTACAGCGGTTCCTGAAAGATGAACGCAGGGATGCCTCTCTGGTCGTGCCTCGCAGGGGCCTGCGAGCGAATGACCAGATGCATCAGTCCATGGTCACTGAACCGCCCAGCAGACAGCTCAGCAGGATCAGCATGGACCCGAAGAAGTACCTCGTGCGCAAAGATGACGTGCCCAGGGAGGGAGACAAAATATCGATCCAGCGTGGCCGCCGATTGCGAATGCCTGTCGAAATGCGTCGGGACCTCTGCAAGCACCTCCATCATCCTCCCGGTCAGCCTCCGCCAGTAAGCCTGCTGATGATGGTCCCGTCTCGCGCCAGTCTGCTGGACCAGCTCGGGGTGGAGATGCTGCCTAGGGCCCTGCGGGTCATGGTTGAAGTCCCCCGCAACCACAAAGAAGCGCCGAAGAGGGTCGTCCTCTGCCCATTTCTGTTGGTCATGCCAGTGTTCAGCAAGCCGTCGCCGTTGAGCTCCATTGATCTTAAAGTTATGGACGTTCAAGATAGATATGGAATACCGTGCATCTTCGGGAAAAAGAGCGTGGCGAAGAGATACGAAGAGACGCCGCTCGCCCATGGACGATCGGCACGAAGTCCACTACCGGTGCCTGCGGGCCACCAGCCTGTCCAGGGACAGGCAACAAGAACGCTATGCCACCACCTGTGGACGAGGAGGAGGAGGAGGAGGACCTCGCATCGGGGGAAGGCTAAGAATGCTATGGCCTGCATTCGAAACCTTAAGAGCGCGGTCCTGCCTGTCTAGGAGGGGCGACAGGAGGCGCGCCCAGCAGCACGGACAGGTCGGCGCGCCTCCGAGGAGGAGGAGGAGGAGGAGGAGGAGGAGGAGGAGCCCGCGCCGCTGAGGAGGAGCACGATCCCTCTCGCCTCTAGGCGCCGCAGGCGGCGGGGCCTCTCAAAGGCGCGTCTTGCGTCACGACCTGCTTCTCGCTGATGTCGACAATCGAGCCGCCGCCCTCGACAGAGGTGGCGACGACGGGCAGGCCGTCAGCGTTGTTGAGAATCGAGCTGACGAGCGGCTACACAACGGAGCCGGTGAAGAACTGCGGGAGGCCGACTTCGTAGAAGTCAGCGAACAGTCGAAAGTCACGCTCGACAAATACAGCCTGCCTGAAGAGCACCTTCAAATCAAGAGCCTGTCCCTACCATGCTTGTATCCAACCAGATTCGGCCGCCAGCATGGCGTTGGTGATCGGTGCGGCAGTGGACGGGAAGCTGTCGATATTCTACTGGGTCGCCATCAGGGTAATCGTCCACCGATGGGTGGGTTTGGCTTGAACGGGTTGCACGGCAAATGCACTATGCTCACACCTATGAATCTGCAATTCGGCACGTTGTGCAGCTTGCGCGGCTTTCCGCAATGCCCTAAAGAGACACCACGCTGATCATCCGCAGGTACTATATAAGGTTGCACGTCCATTGCCTTTGCTCTGGCCCGCGACCGAACCCTCGCTCTCTTCGAAGCCGTGGGCGCCATTACAGGAGACGTCACGGTTGCAGCACCATGTAGCAGCGTTGGCGAGCATCACGAAGAGCGTGGTAGACAGCATCAGGGATGCCGCCATCAGCAGCACCACGCCGAGAATCTTCCACCTGATCTTGCAGCGAATCAGGCTGAACTGCACCGTCATGGGTCCCACCCAGCTGCAGATCACCATCTACCATCTGTCCCTGTATTGCATCAGGCTGGACTGCGTCATTCAGGGCCGCACCAAGCAGTAGCTCGCCATGCGCATCGTCAACGCCAGGTTGACCGGGAGGCTTTGCGCAAGCAGCGAGCTGCATGGCCCCAGAGGAAGCGACAGCGGAAGCCACACGAGCACGCACAGGGAGACCAGGAACATGAAACCGTACTGATAAAGACCGACTCCACGCACCCGGGCCAGGATGCGAAAATCAGGAAGAACGAACACGCCGATGCCCGTGAAAACGCCCGAACGAAGACCTCCAGCCGCCCACCATCAGGAGGCCTAGAAAGGACGAGTCTCCCGCCAGACATGGGAATCTTCGTGCCAAAATTAGGGACATCCTCCTCGAGACGGGCCGCTCCAGGTAGAGGGAGCGCAGCATCACAATCGGGGGGACCATCAGGTGGGCAATCCACAGCAGCATGAACAGCAGCCAGACATGAACAGCAGCCAGACGTCCAGTGACCCCGGAAAGCAGACCAGCAACAACATGAAGTTGGATCGCGGCATCTCGCTCACTCGTGCGGACCACAGTGGAAATCGTCGTGGCGCACCACAACATCAAGAACCAAACTACGCGCACAAGAGCCTGAGTCTTGAACAACATCCGAAAGAAAACCGGCTCGCGCATCTTGAGGACGAACAGTAGGAGCGCCCCCAGAGGCACCAGCAGCAGGACGAGCTTCAGGAGGGACATCCGCACCAAGCTCCATCACGTTCTGGCTCACAGTCCGTGAGATCGTCCGCGAAGGTATCCCTTCCCAAGTGCTTCCAATAGATGTCCACAGAGGCGCGCCAGATTCCAGGCGCTGCCATGGACGAACAATTTGGTCCAGAGCCGCCCAAGTAGCAGACTTCGCGCTCAGCTGATCCAGGGCACACTCTAGCCGGCGAAGCGGACTATCAAACTTGTCGTACGGGTCGTCCTGCTTCAACGCGTCGTCGCACATCGGCATCGGCAGCGACGCAACTGCAACAGCCGCGTCAGCGGCAGCGTCGCAACCACCAGCGGTCCGCGACTCCGCTGCAGGAGAAGGAAGACGATTGTCGGAGTCTTCGGCAGCATAAGCCCAGCAATTGACGCGCTCCCCAAGGAGTGGCTGCACATCACCAGGCGCGGCGGCGGCGGAGGCCCATCGCTTATGCTGTGCAATGTTTCCCGCCAAATTCCACATCTTGATCTCATGCGCCTCTTGCTCAGAGATGCACGTGCGCGGCCTCGAAGAGAGGGGGCGTTGCGCTTGTGGATCCACGACCTGATCTCCAACTCTATCACGTTACCCCTGGACTGCGCTATGATCTTCGCTTTGTGGGGCAGGTTCACCGGGATCACAATATAAGTGAGGCCAGGCCCAACACGGGGGCGTAGAAAACGTCGTTCCACAGCTCGTAGCCGCCGAGATTCGACACTTGCGAACGACCTGCGTCCACGAGGGAGAAGGACACCCGTAACTTTGTACGGTGGAGAAAAATAGGAGGTCGCCGCGCTTGCAGCGGGAACCAGCGGACTGGCAGCACCAGAACGAGGAAGCAGCACCGCACCTGCAGCGAAAACGAACAGGAAGAGGAAACGGAAGTGCATCAGCACGCCATTTCCGCGCTTGCAATGTCGCTCGGTCCTGGGGTGGCGACTTCAAAAAATGCACTTGAGCAAGATTGGCTACGGAAGGAAGAGGAAGAAGAAGAGGAAGAGGACAGGAGAAGGAGGAGGAGGAGTAGGAGGAAGAGTGTGGCAGCAGCAGGATGAGCAGATGCATTTTGGCCTTGAGCCAAAATGTGACAACGACAGTACATCATTCCCTGAAACGCATACGAACAATCCTGGCCTCCCGTGAGCTGGAATGTTGGGCTTCACGGGAAAGAACATTATGCTAAACCTATATCGATAAAACAGGAGCGTCTCCACATGGATGAGACTTTCTCCTAGGTTTAGCACCCCAAAACAGGATACAGCAACTGTACATGCAAGTCAGTGATCAGGGAGAGGGCGGTGAGGAGGGAGAAAAGAGGGAGAGCCCGGGTCTCTTGACTCCGACACCGCTGGGCTGGACTGGAAATCGGCCCACGATATGAGCCTGGAGTGTTGATCCAACATCCTCCGAGATGCTGCCTGAGATCGGTCCTTACTCCCTGGTTGGTTCCTCCTGCGGGATATCTCTCCAGCCTCGTCTATCAAAACTAGCTTGCCTGTCGCAAGCAAATTGGACAATGCTGCATTGCCCTTGCTGATGTCGTCCTTCGTGAGACAGTCCACGGGCACGCGGCCGTGCGGGATCCACCGAATAAAACCCCGAGCCCCCTCCAGGGCCTGGCACACGGCGGCTAGGTCAAGCGCTGTGCGACGATCGCGGGCGCTAGCATTCCCCTCTTTCAGCATCGCATCGTAGATACTCTTAGCATCAACCACGTGGACCTGATCTTCCCGCCCACCTAGTCGACAGCCCCTACGGAGTACCGTCGTAAACGGACCTGAACACCGGGACATGTCTGACACATCCACATCTCCGAAAACCACGTCCCTATACAAAACCTGGAGAAACTCTACTTCCGCCACTGCCGCCGAAAGTGCCTGAGTCTCGCCGGCCAAAGTGGACGTGACTTTCCTTCTAAGCTTGGAACTCCGCCATCCCAGGGTGGACGCGCGAACGGCACAGTTATCTATCACGCTCTTATCGGTCGCTAAGACCATCCAAGCCCCCTGAGTTGGGTCGGCGGGGAGCCCCTGGTGGTCCAGAAGTCCTTCGTTGGCTCCTACACCCCCCGCGTCGGAGAAAGAAACGAACGCCATCCGTTCCGGGTCCAAACGCCAAATGATGAGGCCTCTCGAGGCCGTAGCACGGAGATGCCTTACCATCTTGTTCGCGATGGCAACGTCCCCCGTGGTGGCGTCCTTCAACCTACTGGCAAGGATGCTCGCGGTGCCGGCCGCCTCGGGACGAGACTCACGACCGACCCAGTTCAACTTATAAATCAGGGAACGGAGGGCTTTGAACTCGGGTTGGGAGAGGGGAGAGGACTTTTGACCCAGTCGGCCCCGTTCGAGGCTAATCGTCCTCACCTCCTCCAGTATATACTTTTCCTGGTCGATCGTCGTCTTCTGGGGCCCGAAACTCACGCTGCGGCCAGCGTACTCGACAGGACCGCGGTGACAGTCCCTGTACTTCCCAAACTTGAACCTAGAGACCAAGGTCTCCCGGATCCAGGCTCGGGACGTCTCTGAATTGCTGGCGATAAAGAAGTCGTCGACTTCAAGTAAGATCATGTTGAGAATGGCCCCGTCTGATGCGTACCTGATCCACCAGCAGGGCTCTAGGAGACTCCGCGTGGATCCTTTGGTCCTGAGATACCCTACTATCGTCTTACGCCAGGCCAGGGGGGCATCGTCCAACCCGTAGACGTTCACCAGCAGTCTGATGAGGGACCCCTTTTCAACCTTGATGCCCTCGCATGGTTCCACGTAGATCTCTCCCTGAGCACGGCTCATAGGATCTGATTGGCAGAAAGCATTCTTCACATCCGCAATATCCCCTAGGTGGCCTAGATTCATCATCACCTGGATGAACATAAGTATGGAAGAAGTCTGGGGGGTGGGAGAGTAGACGAATAGCGACCCGGTATCCGGATCTTTGTGTCCGTGGACGCACCACCGAGACTTGGCGGTTGGTTCGGAAAACGTGCCCTCAACAGGTTTCCACCGTCGAACCATCCGACTCGTGATGATGCGGTCCGGTCGCTCTCGCCTAATCACCCCCGCCTCCCTAGGCGCTATGATCTCCACAGCACCTGAAATGGCCATATTTTGCCACTCGGTGTCGTCTGACACTTCAAACTTGCTGCGCTCGGCGGGCGTCAGTCTGTTGAGGCTAACCTC